GATTAAGAAAACGTTTTCGTACACAAAACCAATTTAATAATGAAATAACTTTGGTCATTTAAAAATATACTCTCCACACTACTATTATAATATAATATTAACAACCACGAAACATATTTCGTTCAAACGCATAAATAAAAAGAACTTTGACTTGCAATCCTCTCACCGCAACTTAATGCAACACACGTGTAGCAAACAAATTTTACTTCCTCTCTTCCAAAATCATTATCTGGATTAAAAACAGACACAATCTACGCCTGTTAAACGTTTTGTCCTTCTTTTGATACGAAGGGATAAAAATATTAACCTGCTTGTTAGGGAGAATCAGCCCTTTGTAGTTGCAAGATATGATAAACCTGCACCTGCTTAGCATCGAGCAAAAAGGCATTGGGGATTGAAACAAGTGAAACAAATCTGAAATATATTCATTATATTCAAGGCGGAGAGATAGAAGTTGGCAGGATTACATGAAAATTCAAACTGGTAGAAATCGCTGATCTTTATAAAGATCTATTGTATTCACAATTTTATTGTGGAAATGCAATTTGTAAATAGATCTTGCAGCTGCATATAGTACAGGTTGATTCCTTTGAATTTCTGGGTATCACATATAAAAAATCTTCCCTACTAACAGTGTAAATAATTGAACAGGCCGACGATGCACTGCTGGTAATAAACAAAGACACAATAAAAAATTTAGTGTAACGTTAACTGTTTTTCATTTTTGTAAACAAAGAACACTATTCGGTTCCAGAAAAAACTTTACTGCATTATAAAAAGTTTCGAACTTCTTAAATTTTTATTGTAATAATTTAAATTTATTGATCTTTATAGTAGGTTTACAGGTTTTGGATTGTTTGGAAAACTGTTTATTGGCCTCTAGAGTTTATGCAGCACAATTTCACTTCCAACATCATCCCGGGAAAGAAGTGTTTGAAAGGCTTTTAAGAAGATTTCGTGAACCAAATGAAAGGTGTGCCATAAATAAGCCCACAAGAGCTGACGAAATTAACTAACATAGAAAAATCCTAACATGAGCACAGTTAGATTTAAACCAAACTATTTTAAATTTTTAAAAATCATTTTTATCGTCCATTTAAAATTCAGACGCACCAAAATTTGTATGAAACAGATTTTTAACGCAGGTTAGAAGTATGTTAATGTTTTTTTTGGAAAAAACAGGAGATGAATAATTTTTCGGTCAAATACTATATTTACTGAAGAATCTACTTTCCATAATAAAGGATTTGTGAACAGGCATAATTTTCATTATAACAGCATTGAAAATAATGTCATGAAAATGCCTAAGCCTTCTCTGTATCGCGCGATCTTGGAAGTCTGTTACCCGACTCATGCTCAAAACGACGGAATCTTCTAGGTATGCCGCTGATACTTCGAGAAACTGGCAAAATGGGCGGTGCGTGCCGTTGAGTCATAGAGATGGAATTTTCGGGTGACATTCGTTAGCGTTTAGAAACTGCGAGTACAGAGTGGACTTTGTATAAATAGCGTGAGTTCATCGACAGACGAGTAGTTTAGAACAAGGTTTAGGACTGAAAAGATAAATTGTAATAAATAAATTAGAATTATAAGTAGTGCACAAGTATTATATTAATTAATTAGTACGTCATAAATAAATTATAAATAGTATGTTTTAAATAAACTATAAATAAATTATATAAACGTCACAATAAACATAAATTTTAAACTGTAGATCAACAAAACCGATGGCCGTTAAACGTTTATGGTGGAATAATAGGAAGACAGTTGGTGGGGCCCTATTTTTTTTTGGTGAGCCATTTAAATGAGAGATAATATTAAAAATTTTTGAAGAAAGATTCCTTTGGACGAAATGTGGCTGCGACTAGATATACTTAAACCAAAAATTTCTTGAAAAATGGAGAGTAACAAAAGGCCCTACTAATTGGCCCCATAGATTACCGGATCTAAGCCCTCTTAATTTTTTCTTCAGAGGATATGTTAACAATGTAGTTTGTCAAACACAACTGACCGACACCCAATTGACAAAAATTGACCGACAGGTAAATTTAGTGGCATGTTGTTTCACAAATATTCCAGGGATTAAAACTAAACTAATAACTTTATTTATAAAAAAAAACTTTTATACAGGGTGTACCATTAAAAACTCCCAGGGGGGTCGATTCTCGACTCGTAGGAATATTTTCCTATAGGAATTTTTGACATTTTTATATACATCGAAAATTTATGACATTTTCCTACATATAGGAAAGTGTCACAAATTCCTATAGGAAAAGGTTCCTACAAGTTGAGAATCGACCCCAGGCCGGATATTTTGGTAAGTAATAGAGATATTTTAATTCTGTAAAAGTCAGTTTATAGAGCACTAAGAAAGCTTCAGTTTTAGATATAAATTAATTTTAAATAGGTCAATATGTAGGTGGCGCTGCACTCAATAATTTTTTTTCGATGGGAGGTTCTTTCTTTTGTAGCGCATCTTGTAAAAAATGAATTTTTAAGAAGATTTGTTTTATGAACTAATTCTATAAATCTAGCCCATTTTGATATACAGAGTGGGTCACTCAAAACAGTTTTATCCTGTTTTTTCGGCAGTAATCACTGGACTTAAAAAAAAGCTGCAATAGGTCGATTTTTATTCCAAATTAAACATATTTTTACAATAAAGACATCTGTCATGTGTCAACCCTCTCCCTTCCACTTCTCCAACCCCTTAATTTTAAATAAGCAGTGTACCATATACGGCACATCATTGGATAGGTAAGTTAATGGGGAAGTCAGAAATATGACGGTTTATTGCGATACTTTTAATTTTAGCGCCCTCTATCGGGATAAAAAAACTTGTAACGTATTATAAAGTGTGACACTTCATTTGAAAGCTCATTTAACTACTAATTCAATGCACCACATAATATTAATATAAATATTTCCATATTGCACTTGCAACAAAATAAAGTTAGCAATAATGTTTAAAATAATACATGACTAATTTTCAAACTATTGCAAGATTTGCAAGTGCAATATTGAGGATAATTATATTTATGTTATGTGGTGCATTGAATTAGTAATTAAATTTGCTTTCAAATAAGGTGTCATATTTAACAGTCTATTTCTAAATTTCCCATAAATTTACCTATTTAATGATGTACTACACATTGTAGTGTCACACTCTATAATACGTAATAGTTTTTTATCCCGCTAGAGGGCGATAAAATTTAAGTAACACAATGTACAGAAATATTTCTGAATCCCCCATTAAATAACCTATTCAATGATGTGCCGTATATGGTACATTGTTTATTTAAAATTAAGGGGTTAAAGAAGTGGAAGGGAGGGGGTTGACACATGACAGATGTCTGTATATGTTTAATTTGGAATAAAAATCGACCTTTACAGCTTTTTCTTAAAATCCAATGATTAATGCCGAAAAACAGGATAAAACTGTTTTGAGTGACCCACTCTGTATATCAAAGATGGCTAGATTTATCGAATTAGTTCATGGGACAAAATCTTCTTAAAAATTAATTTTTTACAAGATGCGCTACAAAAGAAAGATACTTCCATCGAAAAAAAATTATTGAGTGCAGCGCCACCTACATATTGACCTATTTAAAATTAATTTATATCTAAAACTGAAGCTCTTTTAGTGCTCTGTAAATTGACTCTTACAGAATTAAAATATCTCTATTACTTACCAAAATATCCGGCCTGGGAGTTTTTATTGGTACACCCTGTATACCAGAAAACAATTTAATATTATTTAGAAGGCCATGTTGCAGGCATCTCCATCAGGTAGTCAAGAATTTGTCTATTTTCCTTGTCTGCGATTATAGTAGCCAGTATTTCTCACCAAGTTGTAAAACTTGTACATGAAAAAGAAGACAGTAGATGCACTGAACATTAAAAAAAAAACATGAAAACTTACAAAACAACCCTTCGAGTAAATAATAAATGTTATATTAATCTAAAAAACATTTGACGTGCCGTGCAACTGGGTGTCGGTCAATTGGGTGTCGGTCAATCGGGAGTCGGCCACTTGGCCTGTCGGCAGATTGGCATGTCAATAAATTGGCCTCTCTGTAAATTGGCCCGTGTGTAAAATAGCCTGTCGGTAAATTGGCCTGTCGTTAAATTGGCCTATCCGTAAGTTGTCTTATCAATATATTGTCAATTCTATAGTTGGTCAAATGTCTAGTCAGTCAGTGTGGTGTCAGTCAATTGCATGTAGGTCAATTGTCTGGATCCAAAATTCAACAACACTACATTTTCAAAAAATTTCAAATAAAACGTCAATTATTTAAGATAGGTATAGGGAATATTTATTAAACTAAGATTATTTTTTAAGAGTTGAACTTAAAATTAACAGAAAATATGGGGTGTCCCATTAAAAAAAATATTACTTTATATTGGTATTCTGGTTTGGAAGATCCTGTATATATGAAACTAATTTTAATTTATAGCCGCCGTTAAGTTTTATAATTGTGCCAAAGGAATTTTTAATATCGTTTGTAAACCATACTCCGTCTCGTTGAGCGTAGCGCACCCTGTATTAAAATAATTCATTATTTTTTTGCAGCTATGGCGGGTCCAAATTAATGGCAGACATTTTTAAAAGAAAAAAAATCGATTTATGGTATTTCGACAAAACTGAAATTTATATATGATGTTAATAATAACATTCTAAACCTGTATTTAACAAGGTTGATATTTTTCATGGTTTTAACATCTCGGTAGATACCTAAATTTAACCTCCAGCGCAATCATATGCATTTATAATTCTGTCGCACTCCCTCTAATCCAAGAACTAGTTAGGATTAAGGCTTATACCTGTGTATTATGTTATATCGAACAATAAAATATCTAGGGTAGTAATGGTTTTTATCTAATATTTTTAATCTATTTCTGTACTTTGACAGATAAATATCTGAAAACGTAAAACATTTAATAGCTTTAATAGCGGTAACAATCCTGAACTGATACAGAATTACTAATTCATACTTTAAGCGCATGCCCGATTTATTTTCATTTCTGAATTTTTACACCGCGCGCAATCCCTATTATATCTTGGTGTTCCAGGTATAACACAAGCGGTTCAAAACCAATAATAACTTTAGCGTGAACGCAGGATCGAACCAATAGTTCAGTTCTTTTTGTTCCTACTGCGCCTGCGAAGTCATTACTATTAGTAATAATTCGGTTCAGGATTCTTACCGCGAACAAAGCTAATTGGTAATTGTCATTTAGCTTTATTGATCTAACTATTGAATTTTTTGTTATTTTGATATTATGTCCACTAAATTAAAGTATCTGGATGCTCGCGGGAGCAGAAAATAATAAAATATTTATTAAAATCACTAAAATATAGTTAGTAAAAACTTGATTGGTTTCCATGCTTTTACCAGCTCAGATTATAATCTTTCTTTTTTAATAAGAGAAAAATAGACCCTTTACCTCATGAAAAAATAACATTAAACACCAAAAAGTATTTTCAGATCTTGGTAACGTTGATTTATCAAAATATTTATTACAAGAACTTTTCCATTTGATTCAAAACTTCATTTGTCGAATGTATAATGAGAAAAAATTGATAGACAGGTTCGAGCTTTTCATTAAAGCTTGATTTATAAACTACGTTCAGTTGGCGTTCAGTTCACGCTCAGTTCTAATTGGTGAGTTCGCGCTGCACCCAATTTATAAAACCGTTGGCCGTTCGTTCGTCGCTACGAATTTTGAAATTTGATTTGACGAGACACAGCCACTGACGTTGATATTAAACTGGATCAGGGCTGCCGCGGAGATATTTAGAAATTTACTAGAAAAGTCGAGGAAAATGTACTAAATTGTACTAAATTTTAGATGGAATGTTAATTGTCAAAACTGTCACGTATGTTGACAGTTGTTATGTCAAATGTCAACTGTAGGATGGATGGGTATTGTTTGTTTTTGTTGCTTATGAACTTTAAAAAATTGGAATTGGAATATACCACTGCAATATATCAAAACGTTAATATAAATATAG